CAGAGAAACAAACCAACCAGCAAATTAACAAATGAATAAACAGACAAATAGACAAAGAGACAGAAAGGCGAACGCGTGTAACATAATTGGGAACACTGACACTAACAACACTAACACTTTTATAGCTCTTCATGGAATGTCTTTGATTAATCCTGCTCTTGCATCGTTTTGTAGTCCTTATTGAAAAAAAAACAAACAATAAACGAAAATTCTTCTCTCCCCCTCGCCTCTTGCACCCAAATTTTTGCAACTTGCATTGGTTGAGCCACCATTTTACAAGTGTCAGAAGTCTAACCCAGGTAACTAGAAGATTGCGAGAAACTCACCTGTACAGTTAAATTACGGCGATTGAAGGAGAGTTAATCAATGATTCTTGTCCAGGGAGTCTTTGAATTCCCTTGAATTTTATTTTTAAGTGTAGAATTTTGACGCAGGTAATTATTAAACACCTTTCGGATAAAACGCAGACCAAAAACTCGTCAAAGGCATCACATTTGGCATTTTAGCCTTTTCATTGCCAATGAGTTGTCTGACAATTAGTCAAATCGAGCTTTACCATTTCGATTATCACAGTAGCACAAACTATGAACTGAATGTAACAGCCTATGGATATACTTGATGGCCCACAATACATATTTACCACAAAATAAAGTGCTCCAGCACCAAAGTCGCGACGCAACCGCTTTTGCAAAGACCTTGCAAAGACCTTTCAAGTTCTGTTGACTTTTGTGCCCGCGGGGCGCTCGTGACACATCGGAACGAATTATTTCTCCCCACCCGAACTTGTGCGAGTTGTCTCTTGTCACGGCTGGTAATCATCTGTGAAAGATGTATGAATCATGGCGCTGTTACTGTACACCGCCTTTGTAGTAATCCAGATCTTAACTTTTCCATTTCTTTCCATTTGTTTTTCCGCTTTTATTAACATGGCTCTCGATGTTCCATACAAGAGCTACCCTAATATGCATGTCATTTGGGAACTTGAACGTGTTTCCCAGTTTCCTACTTGTTATACCGCTTTAGTGGGGGCACACCTGGCAGTGTTTGTATAACAGGGGAATAACTCGGTGTCATTCCGTGTTACACCAATGACCTGGAATTTCTTAACCGGAGTGGGAGTTTCAGATTATCGCATGAAGTAATCCACCTACCGTCGTGCCCCTGCCCTCCTAATGCCTAGCTAGAAACTACCATGGAGGTGCGGCCCATTCCTCCTTGCTTTGTTGTTGTTTGATGCACCATTCAAAAAATGTCTTACCCACAAGAAATAGTGATTTCGTCATCTTTCAGCCATTTTCACTCTCTTCCTAATTCTCCCAGCCGTACAACACTTTGTGCTACTTCATCAGCGTTTTCAATTGTCTCCAATTTTGATTTTTCTGTGTTGAACTTGGTTGAATGACTTTAGTGGCGATGCCTCCTCCGCCTCCTCCACCACCACCACCGCCTCCTACAGCCTTATTAGGTTCCAGCAGTTCTGCAGGCACAATTGGAAAGAAACCACCAGCTTTGTTGGCTGATATTCAGGTATGCTTGAGCATGCGCACTTGCGATCTTTACAAGTGGATTTTCAATGTCTATCTCAAAACTAACCGGTGGAAACTTCTTTTACCAAGTTATTACTAGAATATAAAACTCGTCATTTCGGATACATCCCATCATAGGATACACACTACCTTTGTTATTCGGAAACTTTCAGCTCGAGCTTTCGACAGCGACATTTCACATTTCAAAGTAACAACGCAACCGATAATCCTTTTCTAAATACGCAAATGCAGCTGATCTGCTTTGAATTTCAGCTGATAATATCACTGTCCATGTCATTGGGAAAATCCATTTATAAAAAGTGAAGACCAGTCGTTCATTCGGTCTTTCAAAAACTTGCTCCTCAAGATTTTGTGCTGCAAAGCATGCATATTCAACTTTTTCTTTTGAATTTTTAGACACCTCTGCTCCTGAAAACAATTTCTTTTTGATTGAAGGGAATCACGTTCTTATGAACTGCGAAGCTCTGACCGGGGTTTGAAAAGCCAGGGATTTTGTGAAAAATAGAGCATTTTGTTTGAATAAAGAATAAGAAGATTTCGCCTTCTTTTTTTTCTTGAATAAAAGAATTGTAATGAAGATAGTCACAACAGTCATCAAGAATAGACAGAATAGATTAGAGCTTTCCAAACTGTGTTAATTGAAGATGTATATATCAAAGCCTTTTTATACCACTAGTACTAATACAGGGGAATTCCCCAGGCATATAAATATGAATTCGATCGCTAAGCGATGGTGCTTACGCATCGTTAAACGACTGTGCCTATCATCTTAACGGATGGCATTGCAGGCCTCAGAAGGCTGTTCTTAGTTTATAGGAGGTAAGATCAAAGGGTGTGCAATAGCTTGTGCTCAGTGTGGAGAGAGGTAAGAGAACTGTGACGCAGTGATTTTTCCGAAGCAGCCAGTTGATCAGAAGTGAGCCACAAAGCGCAACTCTCAGAAATCTAATTTCACTTAGCAGCGAACATGATTAGATCAAAACTACGAATGACAAAGCACAGTAATAGAGAAAATGGGTGATATGATATGAGGTAAACTACAGGACGTTGGGCTCTGCTTGTTCTTATAATTCACCAAAAATTAGCTACAAATCGCATTTTGTTGGTTCTCAACGAGGTTTCTGTTGATTTTTTTCCTCATGGAATGGAGCGCAAGCGGTCTCCATTTTCCACTTACTTCAAGTTATTATACCCACTATCTCCAAGTAGTTAACATATAGCCTTTGTTCTTATTATAAATAGAATTAGCAAACGAATATTTGATTCTATCAGGAATGTATCTATACTTTGAAGTGGTCGTTTTACAAAGTCTATCAAAATGTAATCTACGAAATCTGTTACCGTGCTGAGCTGCAAACTCATGGCATTTCCAACTTCTGGCATGTTCTGGCATTTGTAGCTTGTCCATATAAAAATTATTTAGCTTGTTGGGTGGCAATTCCACTTCATGTGGCAGACCCAAGTGATGATTTTCTTATTCACTGGTGCTAGTTTCAGCAACCATGCTTTAACCATTTCAAGTTTTTCTAATGCAACAAAATCTTATGCTCTATACCGCTGACCTCTGTTTCCTAGCCTTGCTCTTTTTGTATTGTAAAAATAAAGTTTCAGAAAGGAACGAAGCTTAGAAAAGTAACGACAAATGATCGCTCCGCTCCTATGGTAGGAGGAAAGCCTAGCTCCTCTTCGTCTTCAGCGCCTTCTATAACTAATCAGTTGGAAAGAGAACCGAAGCCGGGTTTGTTTCAAAACAGTAACATTAGTAGCAGTAATATTTGATATTGAATGATAAAAAGTACTCGAAATTGTAGGTTCCGGTGTTCGTACATACGGTGGCAGCGGGGCTTCTATAGGTGGCCTTTTTGCAAATGGGCTTCCTTCAAAGCCTAGTGAAAACAAAATTCGAAGAGCTAATACCACAGTTACTCCTGCAGCTGCACCATCTCCGCCACCACCTCCAGTGCCGTACTCAGGTCTGAATTCTATTCTTCTGTGGCGCGTTCACTCCTGGTCTGCAATAAAAGAGTTGATAAGAAGATAGGCAAGATAAACTCAATAACCTATCTGTAGCTCCTTCAACTCAATTCAGTTTATTACAAACTTAATGCGCTGTTTTCCAGTCAAAGTTGGCCCTATTAATTCGAGTAATTCAATGGAGTATTCTCACATAGAAATTTTTAAACTGTACAAATCAAGGCAGTCTTGTCGAGAAAATTTGCTTATTTTTCCAGGGCGAAATTTTTCGGCACCACCACCTCCGGCTATGAAGCCTTCAGATTTAGTTTTCTCTAATAAACCATCTCCTCCACCTCCACCTATTCAAGCTGCCAAGCCAATTGTTAGTTTTTGTTTGACAAACTAATTGGTAATTCTTTGAACGCTTTCATGCGGCCTAATCGCTAAAACTATTTCGTTTATTCAAAAAATAATAGCTTCACAGGTTAACTCATCTTCGGGTGGACGAGAACAATTCAAGACGATGCGGCCAGTGAGGTCAGAAACGACCCGAGTGAGCTCCGGATTGCGGAGGAGTGGCAGCTCAGAGGTTATTGACTAGCTCAGATATTATAGTTTACTGCCTCTTGAAAGTAGCAAATGTCAGGATGTTTCTCGCGAGAGCACTCCGGTTCGAGCACCTATAGCACGACCGACCGTTCCACCACCAGGTAGACCGACAGCTCCTCCACCTCCACCACCCACAATGCGGTTCAATAGTAACCACACTACGGAACCACCTCCTCCACCTACTGTTCCACCAGTTACTTCAGGTCTACCCAATAGGTATGTTTTACGTAGTTCCTTTCCTTTCTCCAGTTTAAACGAAGTCTAATAAGGACATAGAAGTTATTGTGCACTCACAGATTTGGAAGTACTCCTGCTATGGGCGCCAGGATAGAAGAGAGTGCTCCGCCACCTCCTCCAAGGAGCGCATCGAAAGCTGGAAGTTCCGTTACAAGTCTCACATCGTTAGCGGCGCCAAGATTCGCAAGCAATGATGCCCATCCCCTTGACCGGTTGGTGAATATTCAACGTAACTGTGTTTTCAACGTTTTTTAAATGAACGCATAACGATTCCCTCGTGCGCTTATTGTAAACGAAAGAGTGTTTACTGATAGTTGTTCGCATTCTAGTTATGAGATTCCAACTGCGAATGAGATACTTGCACTGAGTCCTTGGTCGACATAATTTCCTTGCTTCAATGCCTTTGGACTACCATTGCGCAAGCTTTTTGGTGTTCTCAGAAAACGGAGATTTTGGTTGAGATTACGTAACCGTTTTTTTCAACTTGTTGTTCGAGACAGGGCGTTGACCCCTCGGCCTGAAGCTGTGTATGTGGAGTACACCTAACAAGTGAAAGTTGGGTGGGACAAGACCAGGCTGTACGGGGAAGGATTTCTGCCTCGGGCTCGAGCTTGCGTAACATTTTAGTAGTGCGGATGATTGGGCGGACACTTTCGTACAGAAGCTACAGCTTTTGACAGTAACCCCAGAAATGTTGAAAGTGAATTAGACGACACAGATAGTTTCCACGAAATCTTCTAAAGGGAAGGCTTGTGTTAAAGGTGTACAGAGGCTTTTTGTCTCAACATTTGTAATCATTAGGTTGCTTCATTCCCCCCCCCCCCCCCCCCACTTTCACCGTGAAAAAAGAAAAACTCCAATAGCCTTTTAACAATGAAGTTTCAGGTTCGTTTTCAAGCCGCTGTCAAGTCTCCCACCTCCCCCGATTCCTTCACAAGGACGTGCTTATTAATCACTTTCGAGTCGGGCTTGTGATTTTGTGCCTTCACCTAACAGTTTTGCTTAACTGAACGTACATATCCTAGCAAACTCGGCGAATACTTACTTGTAGATTTCTCAAATCTTATTAGCAATACTGATTGACCCTGCTCATTACAAATCGCTTGTATTTATAATGCATTTGGACAATTTTCGTACTCTTTTCTCAGTTACCCTCTCTTGAATAGTTTTTTGGAGCATTCTAAAATGACCAAGATGAAATATTGAAAAAAAGCTTTCTAGTCGCTCTTTTTTGAATTAACTAGTGGTTGATCACTCGAATAGTTATTGTTTGGTCCCTTGTTTATTTTGCCTAATTGTGTTGCCTGCTTATAGTGGCGTTTCCAAACATCAGCTACAATTATCTTCTGACTTTATTGTAATTGAGTTGAATGCATATTCGTAAAAATAAATCTGTCTTATGTTGTGCTATTTGTACATCGTTAGCAAGTAGTTGAATTCTTCTCTATCTCAGTGCATAATAATATCAAACATTTTACAATCGCTCTCTATGAACAGGATGGCCAGTGGTCGGGGAGCCGGCTCAGATTTGGTTCAACGTCTGAATGCCGTTTCAGAAGTTGAAAAGTCCATTGGGAATCTTCTTCGGCACGCGCAAACCTGCATTTCGGAGCTGTCCAAAGAGAAACAGATCAGCAAGGTTTCAGATTTGGATCCTTTGAGTATATGGTCAAAGTTCTACTCTAACGAGGAAAAATCAATTGAATAAGGGGTAGTAAGTAATTCTTTCTTTCGGGAGCGGTAAAACAGGGACTCATCAGTTCCCCTTATAAGAACTACTTGGTTTTTGACAGCCGCGAGGCTCATCATTGAATCTAGCTAATGAGAAGAAGGAAACGTGACGTACTCTCGGAGCTAGTTTCATTCATCTATTGATGTGAGTTTCAAAGTGAAGCGGTAGGATCTTAGTCCCATTACATCATGGTAACGACAGCAGGTACTTCTTCGTAAAACTAATAGCCAGATCTTGCAATCTCACAATTTGAGTGACAAGTTCCTTCCTTTTTTTCTAACTCCTGGCTCGGTTTAACTATGGATCAGGTGAGTAGGAAGGGAGCATTCCATAATGGATTGAATGGACTTGCCTCGAAAAGAAGTCTTATCTCTGGGTTTGTGTTTTATTGTAATTCTTCTGTACTGCTTCCTACAATGTCTTTTTACAGACAAAAATGGAGGAATCATCTCAGGCTTTCAAGAAGACTCTCACACAAGTTGAAAAGGAACTTTCCGAACAGATGCTGTATCTTTCTAATGTCTGCGTCGGTTCGGCTCACCAAGGTTTTGCTTTTCTGCCTCTCGTTCTGCCTTTTTACTCAAATATTGACAAGTGAAATTGATACAACTGGGTGGTTTCTGTTTTTTGGAACATGACATTTTAATTCTATTTTACTTATTTTTCTCTGATTTATTCCTGCGTGATAGTGTTAGTCAAACTAGAAATTGACACGGTTTACGTTTTAACCCATTGACGACCGCGTGGCCCGCCGGCGGGCCACACCGTATCGTGCCCCTGTAGTATTTATATTATTTATCGGGTGGTCTTATAATTTTTTTCATGTTTTCAAGTGTCAGCTTAGCTCACAATCTTCTAAATAATCTTGAGGCATCGCGGTTCAATAATCATTCACTCCCAACTACACTTATAAGAGAAATTATAAGTTAATGTAAGGACAATGTAAAAGGGGCGGTCGCCAATGGGTTAATCCTGTTGTACAAGCACTGTAGTATCAGAAGCGAAAAAGAGGATGAGCACCGGCCATCTGTGCATTTTTATGCGGTTTTAACTGCGTTTTCGTGAAAGTAGTTTTCATCTGAGCCTGAGAAGTGTAGGAATACCGAGTTGGGTGAGATGATTACCTCTGCAAAAAGCTGAAAACTAGCCCACCCCGGTGCTCGTTTCTTCATAAGAAAAATGCATGTCTTTGGTATGATACGCGATATGTGTGGCACCGTTTTGATTCCTCTTTATAACAACACTATTATGTATGCCCCTTTCCTTCCCCTTTCCAACTCCAATTTCACCGGATTGGCTTATGTTCAAACAAAGATTAGTTAACGTTCACTCTCTCATCATGCTAGCTGCACAAATTTCCTCGAAAGAATAGACCATTTAGAGTTGTTCCGTCGAGAAATGATCAATCATTTGCACGACTGCCCCTAGGAGCTTTCCAATCCAGCGTAAGTACTGGTAATTTCGAACGTAAGATCTCTGAAGCAGCTGATCCCCTTCACTGAGAATTCTCTTTCACCAGAAGGTCTTCAGCCGGTTGGTGCCGAAGGAGCAGTGTTTCAGGAGACGGTTCAGTAATGCTGATCGCATCACGCTGTTACAAGACTAGTGAGTCAAGAGTACAGAATGCCGTTTAGTGCTGCTCTTGAAAATTCCACGCATTTCATTCAGAATGAAAAAAATGAAAGTGAAGGTCGATGACCGCTACTTACACCCTTTTATATTTCGGGATTTGATAACAGCAACAAATACTATTTATTGAAAATCGCTTGACTGCCTTTCAAAATTCTCCACATTAAGATCTATACACTTTTGTATGGGCTCGAACCAATTTTCGAAGCACTTTTGCCACTCTGGTTAAGGTAACTTTGAAACATGCATTCTGAACGCATCAACAGCTTCTTCAGGTGTCGAAAAACGTTGAACTCTCATTTTTTTACGTACGGGATGAGAAGAAGTCACTCGGGGAATACATGGCTGATGACCTGTCAAATCGTTGTTTTGAGTGCTCAAAAATGCGGTTGTTTGAGCCGATGTGTTGGAGCTCGCATTGTCGTGGC